AATAATTCACAGACATAAGTGAATTAATAGAGTGGTAAATAGCTGGCTCTCTGTAAACACTGCAGTTATTGAATAGAAACTCAGTCTTTTACCAAAGTAATGTTTACAAATTTGTAATTTTCTCTTTGATATGCTGTACAAATATTTTTTACGACAATTAATAGGTCAAACACCTCTGTTTCATTTTTTTGGGTTCTATGACTTGCTTTTTTTAGTTAGGATTAATTCGTGTTGACCGCTGCCTCTATAAAAACTTGCAATGCATATTATTGTTTAGAAATTTAGTTTTGTGCGAAGAATAATTTTTGTTCACGAATTTAGTAAAACGAATTTTACACACAATAAAAAAAATCTCATACTCGTCTCCTCAGCTTGAATGAATTTTTCAGAACTCGGTGCAAGAGTTATGCTCCAATTTAATATCTATTCCAGTTGCTTTACAAAAGATCTGTCCCATCGAAGTACCGTATAGCCATTACCCAAGCACGAAAATTGTTTTGCGACACAAACCCCACTCTTCGCACACAATTCAGAAAAGGGTACGTCGTGTTTGTGCCTCACTCCCCATGGGCTTAAGAGAATGCGCCTCGCTACTAAGACTTTGCTGACCTCATTTTGATTCCTTCTAATGGATAGCCGCCACCTTAGAGTAACTGTTTTTGCGATGAATCTTTTGTGGAAGGCTATAAATCACTAAAAGAGCTGTAGGATTTACTAAAGCTTTTCTTTGTTTGTTCAGCGAATGGCTATAGTGGCCTTATGAGGGTCGACTTGTTGTTTCCGCTCGGGCTTCGTCTTCATTGCTTTCGCTGTGCGTTTTGAAGGAAGGATTCTTTTTGAGTGGTGGCCTTATCTTTTACTGAAATTTTTGGAAAAGTTTTTTCATGATTTTGCTCAAAAATTTGCACTTTTCACTCAAAATCACTAATATATGTAATTTATTGTTGTCCATTTGCAGATAATCATCACACAAGTCTTTATATAACTTCTTATGCTTCAACTTAGTAATGGATCAGAGGAACCCTATTTTTGTCAAGTTTAATGATAACTATAAGAATATGGAATAGACAGAATGCATGATTTTCCCGGGATCGAAATTGTTATACTATTTTTCTTATCAGTTACTCAGAAAATTGACCGGACCTTCCGCGGAACGCTTGGGAAATTTTCGCCGGATCACCTGGATTACAGGCATTTTTGAAATTTCCCCAGCATTTTGTAAAAAGTTCTGCGGAGGTTCCCTTTTTCAACCAGTCTGACGTGAAAATCCTGCGGAAATTCTTTTTCTGACATTTCCGCTTCTGTAATAGTAAACAAAAATCTGCGGAACGCTGCAAATTTTGCTTTTTCTGCGGAAGTTCCGATGAACTGTGTGAGTAGATGGGTTGATGTTTTCGTACTTAAACTTAGTTACATATGAACAATTGAGCTCAACTTCAACTCGTGCAGTTCGGATCTCTTCTTATGGGTGCAAACTTTTTTGCATTGAGTGCACATACATTCACTTGCGAGTCAATCAAATTACCGCTTTCTGAATGTTCCAATATGGCGGAAAGCACGGAGTTTGCTCTATCAGGGGTTCCGGCGAGGGGCTTTGCATTAATTTAGAAGCCATTTTGAAAATATTAAAGTCATGTAAATTTCCCAGGGTAAATGCGATTTGAAATCCTTATTATTAGTTCTTCCTAAGTTTGCACGATCTTGCTAATCTTTCTATGAAATTAAGGACTTCATTTCTATATATGACTCAAGAAGAAGAAAGAGAAGAAGAAGAAGAAAAGAAGGAATGTTTCAGCACGCAAAAGCATCATTTTCGTATTTTTGCTAGCTTTTTCGGATACTTTTTAGCTTTTTCTATGTGCATAGGTGTTAGATATTCTACATATTTGAAGAAACTATCAAATATCTATGCGAAAATTTTTGGAAATTTTCTCATCTGAAAATGATATCGGTGTGGTGTTCTACTTTTTCGATTGCTCTGTCTCAAGTTTCAAGTAGCAGTTTTTTTGGTTTCTTCCAAACTATCTATGAGAATTCTATGACACTTAAACAATAAAAAATACTCCTCTATTACCTTCTCGCTATTGGGCGCATGTTTCTTTCTCCATGTAAACTAAACTACAACATACGCCCTCTCCCTTATTTCCTCATTTCATCGTCCATTTTCATTCTATTCAGCGCGAATTTATCTCCACGCATTTAACCCTTCTCAAAACCAAATTTTTGTTTTTATCTTGATTTGGCTGCTTATGATGCAAAATGTAGGGTATGCCTTTGTCTCAAGCCGCTAACTACTTCGGACTCGTAAATGTTTTCATGAATCTGTTTTTCAACAAAAGTGTATGGAGCACAGGCCATTAAAAACAAGTTTTTATTCATGTTTTCGTTTTTTGAGAGGTTTCTAACGTGAGGAACATCAGCAACCGATGATCACATTCCTTCGAATTTCTTTTATCCTGGTGTTATTTTGTTTAGTTATGAGTATATAGAGCTCAAAATACAATACCTATTCAAAAAATTCTCTTGAAATCTACAAGAATTCTTACTATATCTGCAATATACAAGATTTGAAATCTTCAATGACTCAAGAAGATTGTTATTTTTTTCTTTTTTACATGTCATTTACTTAGCAGACGAGCTACCTTTTGACTATCCCATATTTGAAAAAGTTTTGGGATAACATATTCCTATCATGGAAACTCTAGCTTGCATCTAACCACCCTTGACTTAGCTGTTATGGCTGAACATAAATCAGAATAAGTCACTATCGCATGATATTTGGGTAGAAAAAAAACTTTGAGCAGAAGAAAATGAGTTATATAGTCTGCTCCTAAGTAATGGAGCATTGGTAAAAAAGTTAATGGTATTTCTGTAGGTGTCATGGAAAATGATAGAAGTCTTGAAAGTAATGCAATGTGTCATGCTCCAAGACTTAAGGCGCTCAGTAAAGGCAAAATTGTGCTTGCAAAAATTTGTATATTGTCACAAATCACTCACAATTAGAATGCGATATTTGTTTCCATACGCTTTGATTTAGTTCCGATGGTCAAAGTAAACAAAAGTATGTTGTATGTAGCAACACGCATGAAAGTTCGAAATATTGTACTACAATCTGGAAGAATGGATGATTGGGAAGACCAAAACAGCGAGAAAGCACTATTTATGTACTTCTTGGCATTTTATTTATGCACTTTCGACATTAAGATAAGGATCGCGAGTTGAGCATACAAGCTTGGATGAACAGACTTGGCTGTGAGGCACGAAAATTCTTCGCATCGACAGATTGTAAACTAACCTTTAAACTGAACTTTCACCTTATTTTTCACTTTAGCACAAGGCTGCTACTTCTAGAATAGTCAATGGAAGTACTTGCAACATAATTAGTAAAATAAAACAAGAAAAAACATCTCTTACAGCCTTGTCCAGCCCCCAGATAGTTTTTGAAGAAAAGAGAGATATTAGCTTGTCTGAGTCATTACCCAGAACTGCGCGAAGAATTACTCACTTGCACTTCCCCAGCATCTCCTCTCCTTACGTCTTATGTTTAGATTCTTTGCTTGAACTCTTGGATCATCTATCTGTTATCACGTAGATAGATTTTGTTCTGCTATGATACCAACTAAACGGACGTGCATGTTCTTACGATAATGAACTCAAAGGCTTCCTCAGTAGTAAAAAAACGCTCGATGAGAGGGCCCTTGAATCTTTCAACTGTCGAGTGCTCGAGTTGTATACTAAGCACTCGATTGAGGGCGAGAGACATTTATGACACTCAACAACAAGTTTTGTTTTTAGATTGTGTCACGTGCAAGTAGTGGAGCACAGAGACTTCCTGGTAAATCCGATTTTTATAAGAAAGCTCTCTAGGGGATAATCTGGGGATGTCACTGATGCGATGAAGGGAACGCGACCTTTTGGGATCCTTTGTTGCCTGGATTTGTACTGCCTAGGTAACCGATGCTGTAAATATATGGTTGGCTGATAAATAATTTCGTTTTGACATGCAATTCAAAGCTCTACAACAATTCAAGCAATTCTTGTTTAGCTACGATCTTTTGTGAATGGGTAGCTCCACACTTCTACTATCGTATCCCCATTGCCTAGAATTTTAGATTGTGAGTAGGCAGTTATGACCTTACATAGCTAAACTTCTGCAAACTATTTTGAATTTTCAAGTTCCCTAAGCCTGTTAAATGCACAGATGAGTAGCTTGGTTGTTGGATACACATAATTTCTGGCTATATGGCTCACATATAAGATTGTGACCTGGTGTTTGGGAATTTTATAGCCAGATTTGCGAAATCGGATAGCTCTAGGCATTTGCGCGCGGAGGTCAATTTTTAGATAGCCCAGATCTCTTGAATTTAACCTTCAAATGCTTGGAAATATCGAAGTCATATCATTGGAGCACTTTACACCCAATTTCATTTTGTTTTTGGAGCATGATTTTCCGGAAATTTGACAAAAAAACCTGGTTTCTTTTTGTTTTCTTGCACCATTTCGTCATCAAAAATTATTTTTGAGCAGATAGAGTTGATCATCCAACTTTCCTTAATTTACTCTTTCAATGGTAAGGCACATTTATACATAAATTCATCTGTGACATTTTTGCAAAGCTTTGAAAACGACGGAAACTATGTCTTCCCAACATAATAATATAGCTAATTTGTTGCCAATGTGGAGCACTTTGCATGGCTCGAATATAGTTTATGAATCGTTACTGAGCATTGCTTCTACGTTATGAACGCTTTTTCCTTGCATATGTGTTTTTGTGCCATTTTGTATTACCTATTTTCCGCACATTTGCACTTTAAACGCACGTAGGCAGTCTATAAAGCGCACTCATTTTACTTTATTTTTCTGGGACTTCCCCCTCGATGTTTGACCACCACAATCTCTGCTCGTTTCCTCATTCTAATCCCTCTCGATACCATTATATTACCGCCGTTTTCCCGGAAAGAACTCGCATCGACATAGCCGTAATGGAGTGCGTTCATTGCAGAGAGCCGTCTCCAGGTTCGAGAACCCCGTCAGCCTCTCCTCATGGAGGGGGCGTGGGTGATCATCATCGTCGTCCTGGCCTTCTGTGCCATTCTGCTTTCTACGCTTTGTATTTACTGTACATTGCATTTGTGCCGCTCAACTAATATCAAATATACTGGTGAGTTTAATTTTCTTGATTTTTTGCAAAAATTTCATGTAAAAGTTAATTCATCTAGTGATATCAGCCACTAAGTTAGTTTAATAAGTTAAGTTACCTCATAACGCCTGCGCTGGAACCACAAGAAATTTGTGGAATATGCTGGAAGCAACAATTCGATTGTCATACTATATTTTCTTTTGATTATGTTAGCTGATATTATAATAGAATACGTTTGAGATTGACTTACAAAAAATCAAATCAAAATTTCGAAAGTTGTAGGTTTGAGAAGGCTACTAGAAGGCCAAACAGGCTACTTTTCTCTTTGAGTAGCTTATAACCAAAATCGTAAGTAAAATCAGATTCTAGGTGAGTCTCTTAGGACTTTCGGGTTCTGAAGAAAATTAAATTACATTTCCTGTTATCATTTTGTATGGCCGCGATCTCCGCCAGAAATAGGATGAGTTACGATTTCTACATATTTCAAACTTAACAAAACTCTCAGAAATAGGGGTTGTGTATTTTCAAAAGAAATGAGACAGCCTTACCTATACTTTTTCATGAAAAATATGGTGCTTTAACCTCTGAGTGTTGTGGTCAACAGCTCAAAGTTATTTGTCACATCCATTTTTACTGACTTTGCTAACTAAACAAATAGACGAGTAAAACTAAGAAGTTTGAGGACTTTTCAATATTTCAAACAAGTTTGGCACTGTAAGTATATTTTAAATGTTATGAATTCGCAATGGTCTCACGGCTATGCCTATTCCAAACCTAAAAAATGAGTTCCGTAAAAGAATGTGGTATTGCATGTCATTTTCTGAAATACCGTCAAGGATGATGCTGAACAAAAAAAAAACTTCGCAAAAAAGCACCGCTTTCCAAACGCTTGCTGCACCGGAATAATCAACAGATGAAAACAATGAAAAATTTCTAAACTCATGTACGATTACACTTTCGAGGATTTCGAGACTTTTTCTTCCTCATCTTCTCCATAAAATATATGAGGCTATTGGAGATCTCAATTTTATACAAAACTGTCCTTACACCATCACCTTTCATTGCAACTTATCACATCTTGAGAAGATATCAAGATTTTTCTCACCAAAAACGCAGCGATTCATTTCGCTGCGTACACGCTTCAATATCATGATCATGATCAGCAACTTAATGGAAAAATTGAGTCAAAAGAAAAGGTCATAATCTTTCTCCACGTCTGTCTCAGCGGTTTGCCCTACCTGTCAAAAGCTTGGAAGTGTATTAAGTCTTCGTCACCCGTCGTTCACTCATCCACGTTCGACTGCACACCATTTTTTATGATGTGATTGAAGCAGGAAAATATGCTCAAAACTGTGTAGTTCCTAACCGAAAATGAAGTATTAGGTTGTCCGGAAATTAATGTCCGTTTTGTATTTGAACCGCAATAAGTCATACACTTTTCACTCTTAAATAGGCTTCAAAGTACCGTTCGATAGAGCAAAGCAAGCTCTACAAGATGGCGATCTCGCTTAAGCAACACACTGATTCGCCTCGAGTTTCGAGCCAAAAACTAAAACGAATCAACTGCCCGAAAAATCGGGAAAAATCATAACTCAATTCATAAGAGACCTAGAAAAATTCTAACTTGCTCACGTAAACACTATCCACATAAGACATCTATGTACGCCGTTGCCGTATTTTTTCCTTTGTTAGAAATCAAGAAAACGGAAATTTTCATGCTTTTGTTCTCGAGAAATTTGAATTTTAGCTTGGACCACCTGACTAATGAAAGCTATAATCGATATTTCCCGAAAACTAAAGCTTGTAGAGAGCTGAAAATTCAAGTCTGTACTTCTACAGGCTTGTGGTATACAACTATCTATGTGGGGACGGCACAGCATCACTTTGGCAAAAGCATGAAAATTTCCGTTTTCTTGATTTCTAACAAAGGAAAAAATACGGCAACGGCGTACATAGATGTCTTATGTGGATAGTGTTTACGTGAGCAAGTTAGAATTTTTCTAGGTCTCTTATAAATTGAGTTATGATTTTTCCCGATTTTTCGGGCAGTTGAATCATTTTAGTTTTTGGCTCGAAACTCGAGGCGAATCAGTGTGTTGCTTAAGCGAGATCGCCATCTTGTAGAGCTTGCTTTGCTCTATCGAAAGGTGCTTTGAAGCCTATTTAAGAATGAAAAATGTATGACTTATTGCGATTGGAATTCAGAACGGACGTTAATTTCCGGACAACCTAATATTATGTTGAACCGAAAGTTCTGTCGCTCAGATTTCGAAAAATTCGTAACTGACAAATGCACAAAACGTCATTTTTGCCGTTTTTCGCTTTTTTCACAAATACCTAACTTTTCGTAGATAATCTCGATCAGCATAAGTCTGGCAGTGTTAAAGAGCAGCTCACAAAACAGTTGAGAAACATGCTCCCAAATTTTTCTGCAGCGTTTCAATTTCTAAGGATTTATTTTCGAAAATCGATAGTTTGAGTGGTCCTCCTTTTCTAATTTTTATCTTCAGAGCCTGTCAAACTGCAGGCAGCTAGGAAATTACTAGAAACTGATAAATTTTCCTTTCCAAAGGGATTTTTTGTAAGCAGATGCCTTCACATAGGGAGCAGTCACGCATTTTTCAAAATCAAAGCGACAGAACTTTTGCAGTCTAATATTATTCACCATTCCGTGTTTGAATACATCTTGAACCCATCAGTGAACCCCTATCCTACCCAATAATTGAACGCCAGTATGTTGATTGAACTAACAATAAGAATGTTGTTTTGAGCAAGTCAAGTATACCTATTTCGCATTTTTTTTCCAATTATTTGATTATTTTTTCATTCATGTAATAGAAAAGTGAAAATGAAATATCAAAAAAAAACGAGAAACTCTGCAACAAGTCTGGTTCAAATTACAATCTTATGCTGTTACTACAAGTATAAGATTCTCCTTCTTCAAGAAGTGTGTGAAGCTCTGCCAGATCGTCTCCCTTTCCTCTTACGCGAGCAGAGTCGCAGGAAGTAACGAACACTTCATCTAATTCAAGTAATCTCCATCACAGGTGCAATTGCACGCGCTGTACACATTGCGCGTCTTCAAAATTGCTTTGATGTTTTGTGTACATTAAATATTGCTAGTTAAAGCTTTTCTTATAAGCTGGGAAGAACAAAAACTAAGAAGACGTGGGAATAAACTGTTCAGGAAATAGAAAGAAAACTTACTGAGAACGTGGGTCCCTATACCTCCTAGTGTTGACGCGCAATGTGTGCAGCGCGTGCAGTTGCACATAGTGAAATATAAAATGAACGGACTGTATCTGTGTTGGCAAGGAGCTGGTCAAACATCAACAAAAGTGATCATTTCTCTGAAAACCTCAAAAAGACTTTCTAAAAAGCAAATTCAAATGCAGGAGGAAGTGTGCGCGGTATCTGCCATAGGCTCGTTAAAAAGTTGGGTTTGGAAGAAGTATGAAATGATTGGCACGGGCTAAAATTAAAACATAGAAATTATCCCCCAATGCGTCATTTCGGACTCTTTTTGAACCTTGAAAAAATGCCAAAGAAAGCGAACCGGACGTAGCCGGGCAGCGCACAATGCAGCTAAAAGCAACACATCCGTCGTCTAATCCAAACTGATTGGCGATGAATCCGCCACTAATTGCACCGGGGCCGAGAACGCATGAACGTTTTGCGTGTAAATTGTATGCTAGCACTGATGCGACGCGTACGCCGGGTTCTCCGACGAATGACTTATGTTGGTAAGTTATTAACTGCTTTAGAAATCAACATTCAATTAAACTACGAAAAATTTTGGTAGTTTGGTAGATTTTATTTAAAAATTACGACTTTTGAAATTTTCAAGCTACCACTATCTAAATGTTCTTCTACGACCCCCTCTCACCTTACTGAACAGTTTCGAGATGACATGAAGAAGCACAGTCTCGGTTGAGGATGGGGCCGAAGCGAAATTTGAAATATTGTTATTAGACATCCGGCTAAATCGATTTGTCCCCTCAGTCTTACCACAAAAATGAGAAAAAAATATTTTAATCTCAAAAATGGTTCTAGTTTCGAAGAGATAAGCTCTAGCAAGAATCAGAATTATACACAACTTCGACGGACCTTTCAGCATTTTCTGCTTTGAAACTGTTAAACTGTCCCCAATGTTAAAAACCTTTTATTGTAATTATATACATACTTTTGTTAAATTTGATAAATGCTGTATCTCTACATACAGTAGATCAAATGAGAAAGATATTTCAACACCTACTTTTGCCGCATTTGAAAATCTCAAATTTGTATAACTTTTGAGACAAAGTTTCCTCATCCTGTTAGGGTAAGTCTCAAAACCAAAATTAAGAAAATGCAAACTTTTTTTTACATCTCAGCGCATTTTTTCGATTCATGTTTTGACTCGAGCTTTTTTAGACAGCTAGTCATGCTGCATGACATAATGATTTTTGCGTTGGCGGTCATACAGAGCGCATAATTTCGACCTTCTAAAACATATCAGAACGGACCCAGTCTCAAAATAAAAAACTACACTTTTATGCAAGTATTAGAAAACCACCTGATGAAACTTCATTCGCACAGTCGTTCTCTTCGTTCTTCACAAAGTCCTCTATTCACAATTTATGGCTTTTGCCGAAAGTTCATCTGTTCCTAACGACCATCAAATCAGGTGTGCAGGACATATGTTACGGAAAAAGTTCATGAATAATGCAATAGCTCGTTGAATACCAGATAATTTCCTGATTTGTCTTCACGAACGTAGAATGTGAAAAGTGGAAAGCGTAGTAAACAGAGCTAAGTCTTTTTCGCTTTTTGCCTAGTACTTCTTTTGGTTTTTGCACAAAAGGCATCAAAGCATAGAGGTTTTTTTATAAACCTTTTCCTCAATCGCCCTAACTTCTCTCATAAACCTGAAAATCTATCAATTCAAATGGTGTGCTGCCCTCAAATTTTCTCATATCTAGCAGTTACGATAACCAATTGCCTGTTTTGATCTAGGGAAATATTGAATTTTCGATGGTGCA